TGTTTGTTGGTACGTCTGTCTGTTTGTCAGTTACCTGAGATTAGTTCGTCGTTTGTTTCAATTTATCGATTGTCGGTTTGTCCGCATGTTTTTCTTTTTGCTATCGTTTGCTGGCTTTCGTGTTTCTCGCTAAACGTTTGAKTACTCTTCAAAACTCAAAAAGTCCATACACACACACAAATGCCCATCTTCACTATCGCTGACCATAAAATAACGTAATGCATACAAAAAGTAATCAAGTATACGGCGACATCTTGTGTAGAGGCTTACATAAATCATTTCTCTAAAAAACGCCTTGATAACCTTCTCCAGTAAAACAGCTAGTTATAGATAGATTGTACATCAATCAATCCAAAATCTAATAATGAATAGTCTCCATCTAATCGAGTCCAATAATRTATCAATGCACATCAGCCGCTCCCGACTCAGTGCTTGTATAACTATCAAATCTTATATTTTATCTTTAGATCATTAAAGCGGCTTCCAATAGATATATTCTATGAACTCTCGTTATACTCGAGCCATTAGTTGAAGTTCTGATGTTATTCATCTTGAATACGATCTCAATGCCATATTAGAAGTGAGAATGAATTGAAAATTACATCCCTAAAGACGGCCAAATGGTGTCTATGGCCAATCTAAGCGGCTAGTGTTGAGTGGCAAAAAAGGATTCTTTGAGTCTGGTCAATAAGATTCCTTAATTCAGACATATGTACTCAATAGATCAAACACCCAGAGACATACGTCTGGTAAGAGAATAGAGATACTGTACAATTTTTTCTCTAGTTAAAAAGTAAAAGTAAAGTACTTATAATAAATAATGGATAACTTATAAATAATGGATAAAATTYATACTCTATGAATTTTAACTTTAATATAAAGAAATAAATATAAGAATAAGACGGAATGCCATATGGATAACTGACCAAGAGGGTGAACAAAATAAAAATAATATCTTAAATACTTTTCGTTTTCATTCGGCACTATATTCTCACATTTACTTTCAACTTACAGAAGAAAAAGTAATGTTTTGCGGCCCAATAAATTGKGTGCGTAGCAATATTTTCCAATAGGATTTGAACGTCTCTTGGATTCCTTTCCTTCTTGGAGTTCATATTTATTGTCTTAGGGATTACTGATGCCGCAGAAAGAATACCCAAGAAAATACCGCTTGGAATGTATATATTTGTATGCGTAAAATTAGAAAATATTGGGCACGTAGTACAAGTGTTTAATAACACTGTTTTTTTTAAAAAAGAAGACCAAATATAGAACTCTGGGGCACATCCGTGTGAAGAAGAAAAAGCTACAGATGTGACCACTTTTCGTGCGGATCAACGTTTACACTAGCTATCTAAAATTTGGGTACGTTTTGCCTCCCTTATTTAACAGTTTCCTATCGATCTGGGTTTTWAAAATATGACATTCCCAAATCGGTCAGAGTTTAAAATAACTCCGTTAAAACTCGTTCGGGAAATAGCATATCCTCCGAGTTAAGTGAATCGACGAAAAAAGATTTGTTGATGGGTTTTAACCTGAAATGCATTATCAAGCGTCGAAGGGATACATTCGTTGAAGATCTTTTCCGGAGGTCTTTTCATGTTATATTTGATATATAGATTTTCWCGCGCACGCGTTCCGCTGATTTGCTGAAAAACGGTTTTATCAAAGTACAGAACAAAGTTAAGTCCCCTGAAATAATTTTTCATTTATAGCACACGTTTTCGGGCACTGAGAGGCCAGTATTTCATAACGTGGATTTTAGAAACGCGATCATTATAGGCAATCAGTACGAAAAAAAGGGGAAATATCGGTTGTATAAATTTATGGTAACGTTTAAAATTAGGTGGTTTAGAATTACACGATAATTATTTATCAAACCCATGGTTAATTTCTTGTTGTTTTTATTTSATAGCACTGAAGAAAAATAATGTTAAGGTTGAACTAATTGTTGTAAAGTAGTTAAAGGACTAAATAAGGTGACTCTGAATACTAGAGTAAAGTATAGACCAAATTCAAAACTCGCACCGATGTGAGGCTTAAGTTGTGAACAAAGAGATCTAGCGTAACTCAAAGTAATCTGGCGTGATTCAAAAGTCACGAGTCACGCCAGATTCCTTTGTTCACAACTTAAGCCTCACATCCATGCGAGTTTTGAATTTGGTCTCTTAGTTCAGTTTTGGTTCTCCAGGGGAAACTATGAACAATAGTTAGCCCTAGCAAAAGGGTGGATCACTCTACCCTCGTGTAAACGGCCTCCTAACAGTATATGACCCTTTCATAAATATCTTGGCGTGAGATTTACAGAAAAATATAAAAGAAAATCACATTTTTTTTCTCGATGGAAATTGCGGCATTTCTTTTGTATTTCYTGTTCCTTCTCCTTCCAAGATAATGATGATTGCAAAAAATATATAACTTATAAAATCAAAAATATTCCACTCCATCTTTGTTTTGCTTTTTTAAAAGCTGTGATAATCACATCATTCTTAGATATTGTCTTTTGATTTAAAATTCTACGCCATATTTACCTTACATGCCAACTAAGAAATATTCCAGGAAATAGTCTGACCAGACAATATCAGTTATAAAAGTAGTAAAGGAGTATTGACTAGAAGCCATTATGTTTGCCATAAGAGATTAATTTACCATCATGAAAACCCTTAGAAATATTCCAGGAAATCCTCTGCCAGGAACACTGACAGGRCAATACMAGGTACAAAAGGGGTAAAGGGGTATTAGGTACAAGCCATTATATTTACCATGCAAACCTAAGAAATATTCCAGGAAATCCTCTGCCAGGAACACTGACAGGACAATACCAGGTGCAAAAGGGGTAAAGGGGYATTAGCTACAACCATTATATTTACCTTGCAAACCTAAGAAATATTCCAGGAAATCCTCTGCCAGGAACACTGACAGGACAATACCAGGTACAAAAGGGGTATTAGCTACAAGCCATTATATTTACCTTGCAAACCTAAGAAATATTCCAGGAAATCCTGTGTCAGAAAGAGGTAAGAGAAAATACCAGGCATAAAAGGGGTAAAAGGGGATTACCCGTATGAACTTCACCGACGAATACAGTATTATACTTGTGCTGAATAATATTTATAATCCTTTTAAAGAATATTTAGACCCTAACTGAGCCTTTGGAAGGTGCTGTTGTATTATCTAATTGATTCCAATATTTTCGCAGTCTTTTTTAGACATTTTTAGCTTGATTACAGCAATTTTCAATATTATGCAGACTCGGCCAACTCGGTTCAACGTGGATGGTGGAATTCTTCAATTTTTTTTTGCTTTTTATTCTTCTGCGACCAATCAACGGCACGCAATAGTTTTAAAATTTTTGATTGACCAAGATTAGAAAAAAACAACTCTGAAACAACAAAAAACAAAACAAAACAAAACATTAAAAAAAACCCCAAAACAACAAAAAAATCAACAAAAAACAACAACAAAAAACAAAACAAAACAAAAACAAACAAAACCAACCAACAAACAAAAAACACCATCACCCACAAATTGACAAACAAAAAAGAAAATAAAAAATCCACCATTACTAATAAACAAACCGAAACAAAAGAAACACTGAAAAAATCTCAAAGATTCCACCCAACCAACAACAATAATATAAATACACAAGCAAACACAAAATCTGAATTGCACAATATAGAAAATGGCAGTAAAATTGACTTTCGAATAATTCCGAAAGCACTTCCCGAAAATGGAATTCGTCGAAAACTAATATTACGTGCTAAAGGGGTGGTCAAGTGGCTCATTAATCGATATTATTATTATTATTATTAACAATGCTTAATAAATTTCATGCCTTGTTAGAAACTTTGAAAATAATTCAATACAAAAGTTAAGTTTCTACAGACTTTAAATCGGCTTCCTCGAGTGTTGAATCGTCTTTCGTTTCATCTTTTTCCACTGAGTCGCCAACACTGGGTAGGTTTTCGTTATTTTTATCTAAATCATAATTTTTGTCCGTTATTTCTTTGTTTTCTGCATCTATATCACTCAAATGTTTTTCATCCTCACTCGATTTTGTCTCTTTTTCGTCCTCAGTTGTTGAGGACTGAGYTTTACTTTTATGGTCACCCTGTGTTTCAGTCTTGTCCAGGTGATCACCAAGACCGCTGTCCACCGACTCGGAATCTTTTCCGCCATTTTCATCGTGTTCTGATATCGATTCTTCCTCATTGTCCTCCTTTTCACTATGATCGTCGTCTTTAGCACTGAATCTAACCTCCTCTCCCTTACCTATGTGTACAATTCCTGTATTTAGTTTGGGTTCGGACGTTTGGTTTTGTTTTGGTTTGTCTTCGCTTTCATGTCGCTCKGTCGACTTCATATCGCCGCCATATTTCTTTTTCGTTTCATTATCTGTCTCTAGCTTTCCTTGGCAGTACTTCTCAGAAATTGATTGTTCATTACTAACRTTTTCTCCTCGCTTCTTCTGTTCGATACTTGAGTCCGGCTCCTCTATAGAATCGTCGGACTTCAATTCCCCTAAAAACCGAACGTTTGACGATTCCTCTCGGGAATCYTTCGAGTCTTCGTCAAATACCTCGTCTTTTTGTGCGACCTCGAGGAATTCCTCGTCCTCGTCTTCTAAATATGGCGCCGATGCATTAATCTGTTTGTTGTCTTTGTTTTGATCTGCAGAAGTTTCCTTCTTTATTGCGATCGAGCTCAGCACTATAAAACAAACCACGAAGATGTAATAACTTTTTTTCCTTTAGCTTCTTAGTTAATTCTAAAGTTCGTTTATTCACTTGGTTTTATTATGGCGAAACACGAGCAGAGTATACGTTAATCATGTCTCTCTCACACACAGGTATTTRTTCATCCATCCATCCATCCATCCCTCCCTCCCATCCATCCATGCGTTCGTTCATTCATTCGTTCGTTCATTCATTCACAATAGTATACATTAATAATTGAGGGTTGGGTGGAGTTCAACAGTTCTTTCCTTAAAACAAATCCACAAAATAAATATCCTACTATACACGTACCTAGATCCAAAAACTGAACAGCATAGAACAAGAGGGTCTTGTAACAAAACTCGTACTGTTCCTGAAAAACACAAATTAAAAAAAAAAAAAATTCAATTATAAAGAAATGGATGTAGGAAACGATAGGATGGGGGCACGTTTTTGGCAAATATATTTACTCTTTTGATTAAAACCACATTTTTCCTCTGTGTTTTCTCAAAGAGCCGATAAACGGCTCATCAATGGAGATTATGCTATTTATTGTGAGATAATTACGCATTTCTACATCATCTTTCACTCTCACTATTCGCGTGACGGTTTCCTGGGCATGCGCATGACTATTGGAGACCTTTAGCATAAGAAACGAATGTTCCAAATTTAGAAATAAAGAAAAGTAAAGATACAAAAACAACAACAACAACAACTGCAAAAAACAAACAAACAAAAAAACAAACAAAAAACAACAAAAAACAAAACAAAACAAAACAAACAACAAACGAACAATAAACAAACAAACGAACAAAAAAAACAACGACAACAACCTTGAGGATCAGATTTACTGCTAACCGCTAACTGCTAGGGATGAGGCTCAGAAACACGCCCGCAAACACGGACAAACACTCAGCATCAATGAAATTCAATATTTATTGCTCTTCCAGCAACAACTTCGTTATGACGCCTTGTTAAATGTGCGGTACCTAACAAGAAGGTCGTGCTAAATTTCTCTATTATCCAAGAAATATATTGTAGAAAAATTAATATCAAAAACAGCGCAAGCACAGAAAATTGACAGATGAATGGAGGAATCGACACCTAACGAAATGAGGTATTACTCGTGAATATAATGTTTTGYCCATTTCAGACCACGTGTCATTCTYTTGAGAATATAAGACTCTTCGTTTGAGTTGMATCCATATTCATGTGTYTTCTCATGTGCAAYSGTCAAACAAAGAAGTAATACTCTAGGGAATGACASGTGGTCTGAAATGAGAAAACAGTGGATTAGGTCTCTTACACTGGAAAAATAATGGTGATTTGTCCAGGAATTGATGGGTTGCAAGTATTCCCAAGAGAATTAAAAGACAAACGCATGGCGTCCATTATGGTGCCGTTAACAATGGATGGTAATAAGAAATCTTTTGTTAAATGGCACCAACGCTCCCCCGAGAGGCCGTGATGACGTAACGTGAAATCGAAGAACATACTAACCTTTTTCTGAACCATGTATTTGCGTTGAAGCCTGAGATTTCTCACGAGGCGAGGAATATTGACTGAAAAAGTATGTAAGTCATGAGAATGTAAGTTATCAAGAGAAAATAAATCCCCGYGCCCCATCATGAGCTATTTTGATACAATTTTTAGAATTATTAATGCTATTTTTAGAATCATTCATTTTAAGGAATGGTTAATGCTTACCGTGCGTATATTCAGTTCTGGATGCACGCGGGAGATAATGCTAAGCATTAGCAAAGAAGCGTAAGAGTCGCACGAGGTGTAGTTTATAACATAGTGAAAAAATATTTAGTGTTTATCAATAAAAAAATTCAAAAAYTTTCTTCTAACGAAATCTTCATTACATAACATTCAATCACGTCAGCATGYACCATCCATTCAGTTCTGGATGCGCGCTMGCGCACGCTAATCAACCAATCAAAGCATGCGCTGTATCGTGTCTATGTTATAATGATCGTTTGTTCTATTCTTCCTGATGTTTCTTGCGTTTTTCATGAAAACGTGAGCGAACAGCCCAAAGCAATTTACAAAAATGAGAGTATGTGCTCAGCTGGTAGAGCATCGGTAGTACAGTTCCGAAGGTCGTGGGTTCGAATCCCAGCGAGGTCGGAAATTAATTTTTCCGAATTTAATTCCAAGGGCTTTCGCCCGGAATAACCTCGTTCCCAAGCACTACAACTTACCTATATTATCCTCTACAATTTACAAAAGGTACATATCGTTTAGTCGTCTTGAGTAGAGTTTTTTGTCTTTCCCTTGGTCATAAACAGTGCAATGGCGATGTTAGAATGATACTAAACAGTTTTACTCACCGAATACTTTATGGGCATGAAATTCTTCTATTCCTGCATAGATGACCATGAATGTACCTGTGCGTCCTATCCCAGCACTATGAAGAGAAGGAAAGAATTAGACGACATTTAACAATGGTACTTGGACAATGAGTAAGGCCAAGCACTAGTAGAGCACCACACAGCAACATGCAACACAGCCAACACAGCAGAGCAGAGCAGAGCAGAGCAGAGCAGAGCAGAGCAGAGCAGAGCAGAGCAGAGCAGAGCAGAGCAGATCACATCACGTCACATCACATCACATCATAGCAGTGTACAGCACTGCACAGCACAGCACAGCACTACACTGCACAGCACTGGGAAGCGCATTACAGTGTAGAAAACAGCACATATAGTTAGTTTTATCTGACCTGCAGTGCATGATAATTGGTTTCTCTTGGTCTTCTTGCTCCAACTGCTTGTAACAGCAACGAACCTCATTCATAAATGCCAACAGATCTGCAGGCGATTCTGGCACTCCACTGCAAAAAACACAAATGTGTTAATATTGATTAATTGATTAATATTTATTAGCCTGTTCGAAATCGAGGAAAAAACTGGGTCGATTTGGCATTGCAGTGCATTGTGGACTGTTAAGGGGACACATTTCCAGGATGGCATCTTAAGATATATCACAAATTCCACCAAGAAAAAGTGTGATTTCTTCTGTATTTTCATGTGAGCTTCGCATCCAAGTTCTTTTTGAAAAGGGTCCATCTGGAATATCTGTAGTTTACATATTGTTGGGTTTCAATCAGCTGATAAAAGTATTTGTACTTCAATGTCTGCTCTAAATGCTGGTCAAACACTGACCACCATGTGCTGTCAGCCTGAAAGAATTCTACATGAGACAGGAAATGACGACTAGTGAAAGCATTGTACTTACTAGTCAGGCCAACCAGTAAACTGAAAGTGGGTCACTTCCAAGGTATCATCACTCTAAAATATCCACAAAATAATTCGAAGTTATAAAATCAAAAAATATTCAACAAGGGTAACTTGATCRCAAAATATTTTGAAGGAGAGGAATGGTACAAAACATTCCTTTGCAATTTTGTCGCGTGGGCTACCTGTGGTGAAAGAATTTWAAAAAATGCGCCCTCGATCCGATAAGCATGTCATTCTTACGGCGCATGCTCGACGAAATGCCATGTTCAAAATGGCGCTAGGCGCACAGAAATAATAGTACAGTAATAAAAATAAATGGATATCTTATTAATTTGTAGAACGTCTAGAAAATATTTTTACGACGTCATCAGACGTCATGAGAAAATGCGCAATATTAAATATTATTATTACTATTATTATTATTACGTCATACGTTAGAAGACTTACGTCATTACACTGCACGTGCATGATCCTCGTGACMCAGGAAGGACTGGTACGAAGTGTCTTGAGAGAGACTCTGATTGGTCCAAACAGGACTGTGTGTCCTTCATCTATTGGCCAGTACTGATGACACATCAACTACAAGAAACCAAGATTAATTAACAATTATTCGTTGAAGCCAAAGTGAATATYGGGGAATATTTGCCGACATGCGAGTCTTCGAGTGAATTTAATGAATAACGGAGAGGTATTTTTGTTCAAATTTTATTTCTCTCTGCAAGCAACGCCTGCTTCTGCAACGTTGTAACTCGACTAAGGTGGGTATAACAATTTATCATAAAAACAAATCCAATGTTTGGCTATCTTTTTCCTCGACTTTCGTCAACGCGGGCTGCCTGTGGTATTTTGTCATGTAACTTACCCGACTGCCTTCGACTTCTTTGGTGAGCATGACARTGATGGGAGACTGTTGTTCCCAGACCATCAGCCAGAAGTCTGTAAGGGTCGTAGCAATGGGACCTTGAGTAGCGATGAACGATGGTGTTAAAGGAGTGACGTCCTAGTCAAAGAGATGAGGGTGAGTAAAAAAGTAATCAATACAAGACATCCTGAGGAGGAGGAAAAACTGGCTCGAGTTGGCATTGCAGTACATTGTGGGATGTTTTGGGGAAGGGAATACACGCCATCTTGGAAATATTTCCCTAAACAGTCCCACAATGCATTGCGATGCCAAAGCAACCAAGTTTTTTCCTCAACCTCGAATGGATAATATAGGAAATTCAGAAAAAATTAAACTCAGAAAAATGTCTGAGCACTCTAACCACTGAGCTGCTGGGAAATCGCATGGTACAAGCAAGATCATTGTGTTAAGAAGAACTGAACACGGACTGTATCGCACAGTCACTATAATGTCAAGGCATATATGTATCAAGACACGCACTCAATTTAACTGCATCGCGCAGTCAGGTGCTTAGGGAATTTTGCCATAGGAAATCCATTCTAACAGAACAATTCCAATAGAGATTTTGCCCCACCACGTGACGGAAGCCATGTTAAATGACGCGAACAATACAATCGTTTTACATGAGAAAGAATTCAATTCCCGAGAGCAAAAGGATTTTTTTGTTCTGCCATCTAACCACAGGCAGCCCAAGCAGTATTATGGGATGGGCTCGTGATGGTGCAAAACCACTATACAAAAAGATAGTTTTAGTCGTACCTTGAGAAGGTTTGCATTGATGTAGTCACTTTCTTCCTTTAACTGCAGCTTGACTCTTGAGTGGTCCCCTGTTGATATAAACGAAGTAAACCGCCAATTTTATTCAGGTGACACGTGATAAACTTGATAAACCCTTTGGATGAGACGGGACCGCCATTTAAAAAGTCATTGGAGACACGGCGAATGTCTAACTAACTGCARATAGTGTTAAAAGATGCGTTTCGGTACCACGGTATTAAAAAAAAGTTGTTTAAAATCTCTGTCATTGTGAAACTGTTTAACAACGGCAGAGATTTTGAACAAATTTTTAAAATGTTTAAAAATGTTAGATCACTTTGCTGACGATAAGTCAGAACCCAAAAAT